ATTATTAAAATAAAAAGGCAACAATTTAGAGTCTCTGGATCGCTTATGCAATAGTGATATCAGTGCTGTACGTTGCCGATAGTTACATCGGTCTGAGATTCTGGCATTAAATATAATTATATTGTTAAAATGCATTCAGATGCCCGGACATCTTGTATATGTAGATTGAACTATTGAAGATTGAAAGATCAAGTGATGAGAAAATAACTGCAACAATATGAGAGATTTTATCTCATGATTCTTAGTATTTAATTGTTTATAAAATCAAATTAGTATTATTATGTTTTGAGGTTGAGATGATGAATAACAAATTGGTCCGTGTTTCTGAATACTGTGACTGATAAACCATAACCAACTCTGATCTTCCTTGAAGTCCTTATTTTGCAATGTTTTTGTGATACAAAAATTGGTTGTTTTTATTTAAAGTTTTGCACTAATTAACCACACATTGCATTGATATGGTTCCTTTGGTAGTTTTGGAGAATGCAACCTTTTTCTCTCTAAAATTTACGGAATTGGATTTTACGAAATAATTGAATTAATGATCAACTTCTCTTGAGTTTATAGGATTGTTTGGGACCAAGAAGTCAGATGACCTAAAATTGTCATCAGTATAGGTTACATGAATTACCCGTGTGACCCTACAAATCTCTGGATTATTTACACAGGTTATTGATGAAATGTATACTAATGGCAATGGACTTGTAAGAGGCAGTAAGCTTGTACGTATTGAGCAAGTCATTGGTTTTAATCAGGACCCTAGAAAGGGTTTTGGTCTTATTTATTTTACTGGATAGCGAAGAAGTAATACAAATCATACAAATGTGTTTGGGATATTTAAACCCTGTGAATGCTAAGTAGAACCAATTGCATCCATGTTTTTTGTGAGACTAATTTACCTGCAGATCATCTAGCTGGAGCCCAAGGACACTTTGGATTGAATAACTCTATCATGCTTTTGGACACAGTTCTTCTTAACTTAGTTAAGGATGACAGAGACCATATAATATACAAAAGAATTTTGTAATAGAGTGTGTACTCTGTAAGGAGAGGTAGACTTCTTGTATTTTT